TCTGTTCTCACAGTTTCTGTTGATCTGGAGTACGGGAAGTGCATAGACGCTTGTTTCCTTTCGAGCCCTTTGTAACGACTGAATGCCATTACAGCGAGCCGATTTCCTTTGCTTCATCAATTTGAACTGGACGTACAAGAATGATTGTATTAACATCTGTCTGTGAATCTGAACATTCACCGTCTCAATTGCCCAGCGGTTTAAGTTTTTTCGCTGGTTTTGTTGAGCTGAGGTTCAGGAGTTTAAGAGAATGCTCTTGATGTAGAATCTTTAAAGATAAGTAAATAGATAGTTCACCTAAATTCTGAATATATTCTTCAAATATTGCATTGCCTATGTCACGTCTGTACAATGCAGATAATACTTGCGCTACGTGTGGCACTATCATGATTCGTAAGATAAATGCTGACATCACCTGGCATTATTCTTGATAATGTTCTATTCACTAATGAAATAAGTCGTGTGATAGATGATAAAGGATTTGCGCATAGAACATGCGTCAGATTTATTAGTTTCCTAAATTGTGATAATATCAAAAATTAAATAATGCGTCAAACGTTACTGCTGATTATCTGAAACGTTTCTGTAGATAATTTTATTAGAAATAGATTTCAGAGCTAAATACTTTTTATTAGTGATGTTTCAAATATTTCACGATTGCGCGTAGGTATGGGAAATAAATACAGTTACAAATACCACTGAATTAAAGGCTGAACTACTTATGCATAAGTTGTAATCACTATAATCTCAATAACAATATGTTTTCACACCAACAATAAAAGGGTTGTTTCGGCAGTGGCAAGTAGAATTATTAGCTGGTTAGCTATAAAAACGTAAACTAATAAGCGTTTCGGTATTTTTAAGTCGCTCAATTATGACTTGGCATCTGCACTGACAGCTGAAGTTTGAGGAAATACCACAGAAAATAATAAAGGCAATTTCATGGATTCCAAGTGTTTACGAGCTAACCGTAGGGCCTGATTCTGATAATTCTCCACTAACCATTCATATTTTGCCGTTGAAAAAAGACAAGGAACTGGCACATTCAATAGTTGTCCAACTTGGGTTCAATAATGAAAATAAGCCAATATTTTTAAAACTTTGTTCATTATCGTTTCATAAAGGAAGCGGTAGACAAACTGACGTTAATCGGAATTGGGCCCAGCAAACGAGTGACAAGACAAGGGAAGTCGCCTATCCCTGCGGCACTTCGGTATAAATAAAATCGGGGACCAAAGTCTGTAACTATTTTTCAACTGCTGATGTTACGCAAATGAATTAGCGGAAAATGCGTAATATTTTTGAAGACGTCAACAATCATTTGTCTGTCCGACTGTCCAAGATGTCTAGTTTAGAAATAAGGATTGCAGTTTTTCAATGTGTAGATCTTTCTTATTGAATTAGTAGTAAGTTTAGAGGCAAAATTCTTCAAGAGCGGTACATTGGACATTTTAAAAAGTAGAAAATGTCATCGCTCATTCGTAAGTGGCGGTTCATAATGATGAGCTTACGGTCGGTCTACTGCTAGGTGTGTACTTTAATATGTATCATCCAAGGAACTTCTAAGTGAAGTCCGATCATTAATTATGACATAGGTAGTATGTAGAGTTTACAGAAGTACTGACAACGCCATTCTTGTGGCGGAGTTTTGGGCTGATGCTGTGTAGGTTTGTTGTCGACACGACAAGAAGAAGAAGAATTAGTTACGCCACCTGAATTCTTTAGGGACTCTCTATTATTCTTTTCAACATGGCAAAAGTCTCAAGTTTTATTTAAAGCTTAGAAAAATCAAGATTCCACTTAAAATAATAATTACAAGAATAGTCGTTAAATAGATTCCTCAGTTTATGATTCAGCCAGTTCATCGTTCGTTCATTCGCCTAGTCATAAGGAAGCATTTCTATTCGCGAGAGTTTATTTTAGCGCAGGGTTGGACAAAGAGGACTAACGGCGCATCGGCTGCCCATCTATGGCGTGAGGGATCTGTCCCGGAATAGTTTGTCCCTTCAGGGTTGGCAAAAGCTAGTTATTATTTAATACCAAAATACGCCAAAAGCTGCCAAAATACAGTGTGAGTCACGTTAAAGTGTACATATGAAAATAGATGAAACTAGACCTATTTTTATCGACAAAAAAGATGTCAAAAAATTTTTGAGATTTTTTTTTCATTTTTTATACAATTTTTTTTCTTCGAATTACTTATTGTAAAGAAAACGTAATAACTTTTAAACTAAGCGGTATATCCTGATAAAATAAAAACAGTAATAATGCTAAATAACAGGCAATACTAAAAAAATACATAAAATACATAAAAAAAGGCCAACAAATAAAAAAAAAAGGTTCTTTTTGAAAAAAATCTGCTTTTAAATTCGTGTTTTTTTGGTTATTTGATAAATTTCTCCAAAAAATGTCCCTATAACCGGTGGTTTTTATTACTTTGTATTATTCTTTATCGTATTACCTTCGTAAAACCAAAAATCGCATGTCTTTATCCCTATCACAACGTTTGCAATGATCGTTTGAACTAAGCCTCTCCGGGCGCGCCATTCAACGCTTCGTTAACAACGAAACTGAAAATGGCTCTAGATTTGCTATTTTGATAAAGACAAGTTAGATTTCAAATAAAAACAAAAGATTTCGAAGTAAAATGAGCATTTTAGTTAAAATTAAAATTGTCTCTAACTGTAGCGGAGAATAATGTTGTGGCAGGCCTTTGTTCAAACGATCATAGCAAATGTTGTGATAGGGATAGAGACATGCGATTTTTGGTTTTACAAAGATAATACGATAGAGAATAATACAAAGTAATAAAAACCACCTGTTATAGGGGCATTTTTTGGAGAAATTTATCAAATAACCAAAAAAACACGAATTTTAAAGCAGATTTTTTTCAAAAAGTATCATTTTTTATTATTTGTTGGCCTTTTTTGTGTATTTTATGTATTTTTTTAGTATCTTAGGCAGTGCTGCAGTCTCTTCAGCGGTGCCGTATTGACTATCGGTATATCGAGATGCTGAAATGCCTGTACAGAAACGCTACCATGTCGAGCCGAGTACAGGAGCAGAGCACGAGGGCGATTCCTCTGCAGCGAGGCGTGAGGCAGAGAGATGTTATATCTCCCAAACCGTTGACCGCTGCATTGGAAGACGCTTTCAAGCTCCTTGAATGGAAAGGATTAGGCATAATTACCTTTCAATAGCGAATACATCACTCAGCTTCGGTTTGCTGACGAAATTGTGGTCATGGCAGAATCGCTTGAAGACCTCGGCACAATGCTCGAAGACCTTAAACGAGTCTCTCAACAGGCAGACCTTCGGATGAACGTGGACAAAACGAAGCTTAGGTCCAATGTCCATGTTTCGGTTGGAGCTCGATTCTTGAGACTGTTGACAAGTATGTCTTCCTCTGACAAACGATTCGGCTAGGTAGATTAAATTTCGAGAAAAAGGTAAATCGTCGAATCCAACTCGGCTGGGCAGCATTCGGGAAACTATACAACATCTTTTCGTCCAAAATACCTCAGTGCTTAAAGACGAAATTCTTCAATCAGTGTGTGTTACCTTTACCAGTGATGGCACACGGCTCAGAAACGTGGCCTCTTACAATAGGCCTTAAAAATAAGCTCAAAATTGCACAGCGTGCTATGGGGAGGGCTATACTCAGTGTTTCTTTACGAGATCGAATTTGAAATGAGGAGATCCGTAACCGAACTAAAGTCGCTGACATAGACCGACGGATTAGCAAGCTGAAGTGGCAATGGGCAGATCAAATAGTACGCTGAAATGATGGCCGACGGGGCACCAAGGTTCTGGAGTGGAGGCCACGTACCAAAAAGCGCAACGTGGGACCACCCACAAAGGTGGACCGAAGACCTCATATAGGTAGCGGGAAGGCGCTGGATACAGGCCGCTGCCAACCAGTCATTATGGAAGTCATTGGGACAGGCCTATGTTCAGCAGTGGACGTCCTATGGCTGAAATGATGATGATGATGAGAATTTTATAACTGTTTTAAAAACTATATTCTTAAATAGTTAAAATATAGTTCCTAAAGCAATAAAACCAGCAATAAAACGTTGATAATTTAAGTACTTTTTAATTTTTTTAAAGTATTCGAATATTCGAATAATATTCGAATATCACTGAAAAAATATTCGAATATTCGAAATAGAAAACTATCGAATATTTGCAATCCCTAGTTGCAGCGCGAGTTCCGTCCGCCTTTTTTTATAGGTCCATGAGCTGACATAATAATATCGTTTATGTAGTCTTGTTGATCCCAATGTAACGGGCATATGGTAGGTAATGATGCATAACAGACGGAGTCGTATTCATTATTTTTGTGTTATTGTCGCCAATTTATTCTCCTTCGCATATCTGTTTACGTTGAACAATGTCAAGTTGGTCTTTCTCAAATAATTAAATATTCATCGTCATCATCTTTTCAGCCATGGATCACCCACAAGTTGGACCGACAAATTCAGAATTGACGGAAATTAAATATTATAAATCCCTTTTAAAATATAGATCCTATACTTGACTAGTTACATTCCTTATCATCATCATTTACCTGCCTCAATTCATTACTGGATGTAGGTATCTCCCAAGTCCCAAAATAGACGCTACTGCACCTGGCCCTCAGGTATTCTGTCTTAAAACTATTAACTATCGACTCGCCATCGTTCCTTCCTAATTCATCATATATTTAATTTTCGTTTCTCCAGAATCATGATTCCCTGGCATAGTATAGGACTTTTCATTAACAAAAATATATTTTCTAATAAAAACTCCATAATTTAATACTAAAATCATAAAGGACATTACAAAACAGCTCACAAGAGCTTACAAACGCTAAAAAGTATAAATATAAAGTTAAAAAATGTATGTCATAATCAGCACTCTTCTCCATCTCCGCCAGCAGGATCAGTAGGATCAGATTCCTCAAAGATGTCTACATCAGAGGTTGCAGGCTCAGGACTGGCGGGTTCAGGACTCGCTGGTTCGGGACTCGCTGGTTCAGGACTCGCTGGATTAGGACTTGGCACTGGAGATTCATCCTTCGCTGGAGCAATGGTTACTAAAGGAGTATCAGGTTCTAGACAAACATCGTTTGACGTTTTAGATCCCTTAGCTGACGACGTATTCGTTTGTGTCCCTTCGTCTGTATCGCGATGAGATTTCCATTCCCTGAAAAGAAAATACAGATAAATAATAATAAAAGTTACGTTTCATTTTAAATTGGAAGATTTTTAAAAAACAAAATCGGCAATAAAATACAAAAAATCAAAACAAAATAAAAATAAACCATACCGTAAAAACATTGGACCACAGATTCATGTTGTTTTCTCGGGAGAGGAGGTGCCGTGATAAAAATATACTGTTTACAATGAGAAAACGTATTTTATAATGCCAAATGGCATTGGCAGTAAGCATAATGTAGTAATCCACTCCGCAGGCCGTAGCGTTATTTTATTGCTAGAACAGTTTGATAAAATCAGTTGTTAAACAGAAACTTTAGACTTGAGCATACTTCAAATTCAAAGACTTTAAATTCAATAGTAAAGGTGAAGAATAACGACGTAAAATAAGAAATTGGTACATAAACGAATCTTCCAGAAAAAATATACGAGTACAACGAATGATATACATAAATGGCAATAGGTGATGCTCTTAACTATAGGTATTTAGTGTTAATTTTAAAAAGCGACTCCGGACTTTAAAGCTCCTCAAATTTTGCGCTAACTGGCTTAAATATGCCTACCAAAAATATATTTCTTGAGCCGTAAATAATATACTCGTATTATTTCTAATTGTCTTCGTTATCTCTGTGAGGAAATGAATATGGTGACCGTGGAACTGCCCCATCTTAGCTAGAATTACAGATTCTTTTACCATATTACACAAATTGGCTGATCTGTCTGTACTCGCGGCTGCGTCCTAGCGACTAACTATTATCTCATTTTGAAGTCCGTTACAGTTGGATATTGTCCAATTTGAATATGAGTCGAGATTTCGAGAACCATTGTGCGTAGATAATGCGATGCCCGACGGAACCAGACCAAAGCGATTTGCTTTTCTAATATTGGCCGGCTTCATGTCAGTTCGTCCGATATTGTTTTAGAGTTTTCCGCCATGATTTCGATTAGTGTTTGCTTGTGACTTTGAAACTCTTTTGAGCGTTATTTGTCTGCAATATTGAAGTACGGAAAATTTTATACGTATATTTTGTAAATGAAGCGTATTTTTTCAGGTTTTCAAATCAGTATTGGTTCTGTTAGGTGTAAGGTCGTTTCAACATTCTTGTGTGAATCAGATGTTTTGATTCAGGGCATCAGGTCACTTTGAAGAAGGATATTTCTGTTATTCGTTCGTTATCGTATATCATTTCATCAATAGTTCAAGTTTCAACAATAGTAAGCAGAGCTCAATAATTTCTGAAGCAATTCCAATGTTTTATCCTCAGATCATATTCCCTTCTATGATCTGAGGTTTTATCCCTGCTGAGCATTTTGCGTGGGTGGACAGCGCAAGTCCTGTAGCTATCCAGCGCTCTAACTTTGCTAAATTACCTAACATAAAACTGCGAGCCTCGGCATTGAATCTAAGGTACAGACAGCTGCAAAAAAGCCCTATACAGTATACATATTGAAATTGCAGAATAAATGTTTTATAACTGTCAAAATCTTGAAATAGGCTTTGACAGCATAACGTTGAACAAATATCAAACAGAAGACAAAGCAATGAACAGTAATTTGTTAAAAGGAGAACCTGTGGCGGCTACAGCTGCACAATATTTCGGTGACGCGGAATAATAATATTGAGGGATGGTAAGTACAGAGAAATCTGAATGATAAGAAAGAAACGTAGTCAAAATGATTTATATGCAGAGGACTGTAGCAACATTAAATCTGCTCAGAACATCTCTGGAGCCAGAACCCACGTAGCAACGGCAAATGCATTGCTGAAATAATATCCTGCTGAATGCGTAACGAAGGATAATATTGCATTGTGCAATGTTTAACCATGCGATGTATTGATGGGATTTGTATGAGTCTCAGTATTTGTACTGCATAAATATGTAACGCCATACAATATTTGTAGTCGAATCGTAAATAAAGACATATCAAGGAAAAATATTGACAAGATGGAAGATGGTAACAAACAAATTGGAAGTACCAAATATGAATCTGAGCAGTTCGTAATGTGAATTCTACATAGAAGAGAAACCCTGAATTTTTATTCGCAAACGTAAGGGAGATAGTAAAACTAAACTAAACATATTACAATAACACGGAGAAGTTGCTCTGCACACAAATGATTGTCAAATTGATGACCATATCATCTGGATTGGAACAGATTATCTCGCATAAAGCTGAAGGCTGAATCTATGCTGCAGATTAGAGACGAGTGACGACAAGAAGAAGATTTATTTTAAAACTTATGTGCAAAAAAGGTAAAACAAAACCTACAGAGAAGTTGCTATGCTATGTGCCTATGTTGTACAAGTACACGAATAATTGTCGAATCTATACTCTAGCTAGTATACTAATATAATAAATGCGAAAGTAACTCTGTCTGTCTGTCTCGCTTTCACGCTTAAACCACTGAACCAATTTTGATGAAACTTGGTATAGAGATAGTTTGAGTCCCGGGAAAGGACATAGGATAGTTTTTATCCCGGTTTTTGAAACAAGGACGCGCGCGATAAAGTTTTTCAATGACAGACAAAATTCCACGCAGGCGAAGCCGCGGGCGGAAAGCTAGTATACTCAATAATTTGTTGCATCCATAACATTACAAAGGGTGGTAATAGTCGATATAGTCTGGATTGGAACAGGTCATGTCGCCTAATCGCCCATAACGTTGAAGCTATGCTGCAGAATACAGGCGAGTGACGGCGTGCGTCTGGGCTCGCTGGCGTGCGCCCAACGGTCGCGGTCGCGATGCCGTTCCGGCTGCCGTGGCTATTACGTAAGGCCATCGCGGTCAATCACTATGAATAAAGAGCCCTGTAGGTCTAGTGGCAAGTTTTGATCGAATCGAAAATCGAATTCGTTCACTGAGCGATGTAACTCCATACAAAAAACACCGGAGCATCATTACAACTGAACACCATTGCCATCTGTTGTGATGGACTGAGGAGACTTGGAAATATTGCTGCAAGGAAAGGAAAGAGTCTCAAGAGCTGTTTTTTCATGAAACTAGTAAAGATAGTTAAATTTATGCTAGCTTCATGAAAAAAGCAGCTTTTAAGATTCTTTCGTTCCTAAGTTTGTATTTTTGGATAGTTAGTTATGATGGACGACTTCTACTGTGGGCAATGCACAATACAAAAAGAACACTTAAACATATAATGTCCTACTGCCTTAGATTAATAAAACCTAGATAGATAGTCAGTGCACGAAAGGTGAGGCAGTTTTTAGGGAGCCGGCAAGGCTTACCCGTAAACGTCACATGAACTGTCAAAGTGAAAAATTGGTAAACACGTCCGACGAATTTTAATTAATTAAGACGGTTTGTGCTGTGAAAGGGTGTCTAAATACATCAGAAAAACGAAAGAAAGTGACCAGTGTTACATTCCATAAGTAAGTACTACGATTCGACGCGTATTTCGCTTGAATTTGGCTTTCAAAAATTAAATACGGGAATGATACCAGTAACAAGAAAATTTATTTCCCAATTGTTCGCCGTACAAATACACTTCCTTTTTTATGAAATCGAGACTTTTAAGTCGATTTATCTTATTGTTATTAGGTAGGTACTTTGAATTCAATAAATAAGTAAGTACATGATACGTTTTGTTTTTGTTAATTATAAAATAATTAAAAACGTATTAAAAATTTCCCTGCTTTCGGGAAAATCGCCTTCACTGTCTACACTCCCCAACATAATTGACACTAATGACATAAGATTTTTGCCTCACTCTTGACGAAGCGTTTGTATGAAGACTATCCATCTAGGTTTTATTAATCTAAGCCTACTGCGTTGTACGTGTTTGGGTAGTGCACCTGCAGTGGAGACTAATGACCTGATGCTGATGATGATCATGAACTAGGTACGAATATTTATTACAAGATTCAACCCTCACTCTAATATCCCTGTAGTTCAGAGTTCTTTTTATAATTCCGTTGGATTTGGTTATGGGTAAAATTGAAATTCCAGTGGCTTAAAAGTTTGATAGCGATTATGGAAAGACCAGTCGCGATCAGCAATGTTGTATCGAGTGTCGTACCATTCGAATGTCGATGGGTGTTTGTTTACCTTATTTTATTTGACGTGCAGTGTTTATTTTCCGTTCAGAAATAAGTCGACTGGATACGTCGTTTGGTTTCGCAAACAGTGCGCGTAGGCAATTAAATTAAAACCTCATAATGAAACTGAAGTTTTGTCCTTACATGAAATAAGGTGTACCTTTTTTTTTGTCGTCAAAGTATTGACTATTATAATTACCGATTAATATGGAGCAAACCGATATTAAATGGAAAACTTTAGTGAACATTACAGTAGAATCCCGATTATCCGGATCAATTAAAACCAGGGGTATTCCGGATAATCGATTTCAAAGTAAAATCGGACAATAATTAACTTTTTACTTCTAGAAAATGGTTCATTTACATAATTTAGACCATTGGGTGAACCAATTTCTATTAACAATGAACCAAGACGACGTCTGTACCGTGTTCGGTGGCAGCACCGAGCCGTATCACAGGCGGCGCTGTGCCGTATTGATGGTTCCAGGCCCTAAATCGTTAATTAGAGCCATGAAGATTGAGTCCGGATAATCGGATATCCGGATAATCGAAGTCCGGATAATCGAGATTCTACTGTACTTTGTAATTTTTTTTTACAAATTATTTCTTGGGTGAATAGGCTTAGGAGATTGAAATACAGATAAAGATGGACGTGCATCTGATGCTAAGGGTGCTAATTACTTTTAATTTGAACTGGTAAGTTAGCAGCACCACATGTAGCTTTGACGTTGTGGTCCCCTCGCTAAATCCGGGGCGACGCGCGCGCATCTATTTGCGTGCAGTGCAACAACCCCACACCCGTGACATTACTACACTAATACACTTGCATAATGATCGTGTTTGTCTTCTAATCTTCAGTATTTATTATGTTTATTACAGTCAGTCACAATTGGTGTTTGCCAAAATGCTAATTCGTCGATTTTTATTGGCTCGTCT